TAAGTCCTATCTCCAGGGAACATACAGTGTTCAGGTGGAGTTTTAAAGCACACGGTTGGAAGAAAGGAGGGGGTAGGAGACGGGTACCAGCTGTGGGAATCATTTCCAATAAAAGAAGAAAAAGAGAGTGATTGTCATGACTGCATTCCCAAGGGGATGAACTGGTTACAACAGCACTGCTAAGGGGGGCAGAAAAGTGTGGCCTGTGATCCTTGAGCTCCACACAAAAAGTGTTGGAAAATAACCAATTGATTTTCCCTCTAGGTCTGAACTTATGCTCTGCAGTGAGAGATGAAAGGTGGTATCTTTATAGGACAGAAAGCCAGCGATTCTCAAATTCTTGTCCAATCTCTTTAGCCTGTCACCGTGGCCAAAATACCTCAGCTCCATGACCTATAATGGTACTTCTTTCCATCACATTCTTTGTTGTAAGATTTAATTTGTGTTCTTAAAGTGCTTTGAAGTATATAAAAGCCCAGATCTGCAAAAACTTGTACATATGCTTATGCTTACTCATGTGAGTAATCCCATTAACTTCCATGGGTCTATTCATGCCAGTGAAGTTACACACATGCAGAAATATTTGCAAGATATTTGAAAGGGCTCAAGCCTTTACAGCACCTGACATAATGCCCAATAGTATCAGTGGGATGTTTCTCTTGACTTCAGAGGGGTTTGGATTGGGTCCTATGTCATTCTTGTCTTCACCCTGATAGCCAACTGAAAATCTGCTCTGCGGGTGTCTCTGAGATATTCACTGTACAAAGCCTAAGGATAGATTGCTTAGACTGGAAATTTCCAGCGATTTTATCTCTGTGTATTATCTTTCTAAACATTTACTCAATGAAACTTTTGTCACTGGATTATGTCAGGATATGGAATAGAACCAACATGTTTAGCAGGTTTTTAACCATATTGTACCAGTCTAGTTTAGGAAAACAAAGGATCTGTTTTCCAGAATCCTTAATACACTCATACTATCACCCAATGGATCCCAGATGGCTCTTTTTGGTTGTCCTCAGGCAGTGCATCTACATGTGCCCCCACCGTGCAGTTGTTACTGCACTGTCATTTAGTATGGCACACAGTTATTTTTAGCAGCTACATTGCCATAGTTACACGCTATAGTGAGAGAGTTCATCGCAATGGCACCATAGTGGTGGCATCATGGTTTCAGCATGCCGACGCTACGTCACCATAGTATGTCATTATGGCAATGTAGCATCTCATGTAGCCGTGCCCAGGGTGTAACATTTTGAAACCCAAATAGTAGGAAATGTGAGGCTGAAGGGGAAGGTCTTCCAAGGATGCCATTCTCCTGTACTGCAGTGTTTCTCACAATGGGAAGTTGCAGAACCACTGCTATATGTCCTGTGACAGCATGGGGAGACTTACAGAAGGACCTTGAGGACCCGGCAAACCAACATCTCCTTTTTCTCCTTTCATACCATTGGCTCCCTACAAAATCATCACAAAGTGGGATTTAACAGTATGTTCCATCTTGGTAACAATGGAATTCAGTCTAGAGAAAAGCACATTGTCTTGCTTAAATACTTTATTTACAATTTTCATAAAGCAATGATAAAACTATAGTGCTACTTAAAATGGATGGTACCTCTTTACATAAGCAGGGCTTCCAAACCCAGCAAAATATATTGTAAATGTATACTTAAAAAAAAAAGACAATATCTATCAACTGTTAGGCTACCAAACAGTTAAAAAAAGTAATGGTTGTATATATGGCTAAAATAAAGATAGTTCAGACAGCATGACATTTACAAAATGTTCTCTCTTGCACTGTTTTCATCAATTTTGTGCATGCAAATTTTTTGTACGTTTGTGTATGTGTATATACATATAATGAATCCCTGTATAAATACAAGATTTTCCATAAATGTTGATGCATTTTCTCTACTTCCTCGAGTATGTGAGGCAGCCACTGAAGTTTCTGATATAAGAATATCTTTCTTTTCAACTACCTAAAGGGTGGCTAAAAAAAGGATGGAGCTAGACTGTTCTCAGTGGTGGCAGATGACAGAACAAGGAGCAATGGTCTCAAGTTGCAGCAAGGGAAGTTTAGGTTAGATATTAGGAAAAACTCTCACCAGGAGCAGCAAAGCCCTGGAACAGAAAGATTGTGGTATCTCCATCCTTAAAGGTTTTTAAGATCTGTGTAGACAAAGTCTTGGCTTGATCTAGTTGGGGCTGGTCCTGCTTTGAGAAGGGGTTGGACTAGATGACCACCTGAGGTCCCTTTCAACCCTAATTTTCTATGATTCTGTGACCACAACCAGAATGGAAAGTACTAACACATAATTTTTGATTTAGTGGTCATAGGTTTGCCTAGACCAGGTACAGCCTCCTTACATTTTCAATTTATAATGTTTTATGCTACTTCTGCAATTTACAGACACTGCTAAGAATTGCCAGTTATGGAAAAATGAATGATTTTCAGGGGAAATTAATTCATTTTTAATACTTACTGGTAAGCCGGGCAGTCCAATTCCACCCTTTTCTCCTGACATGCCAGGCTCACCCACGTCTCCCTTTGAGCCTTTCTGACCCTGAAACATCATATTTTTATCAGGCAAATGTCTTGCGCAACAGTGACAAATCACTGAAATCCTCAATTTGACCTTCGTTTTATCCTAGCATCCAAGATAAACCACCAACACCTAGAGTTTTTATTAACAGGAATTAATGCATTCCTTATTTATCATTCTACATAGATTCTCACCCTCCAACCCCACGTATAATGTAATAGTTTCCTCAAACAGGATTCACTAGATTTGGCACAAGGTGATATACTCAGTACCTGATCCCCATCAGTTCCTGGAATTCCTGGGGATCCTGGTTCACCCTGCAAAACATTTTATGGAATTGTGTTATGGCTCCTAAATACTCCAATTACTGATGGGAATATTTCATGCTAAATAAATTAGGCTGGCTAGTAACATGCCTTACATATCAAATGCAGACAACAAATTAAGTAATTCGTCATAATAAATACCAAAGCCACTGAAATATGACCTTACAGAGATCATGAAAGAGCAATATTCTCTTAGTAGATGTTTGTGGAAATGTATCTGCTACTTTGTCTATACACATCATGCCTAAAATTGGCCCCATTAGAACACCAGAAGAGTGCTTCAAATGTCTGCAAGTTGACTGATCTATACGACAAGGAAAGTTCACCAAAAAACCAGCCACTGTGCAGAACGTTGATCCTGCACCTTTAAAGGCAATCGGACCTTTGCAAATAACTTCAATGAGCACATGTTCAGGAACCTGGTCAAAAGCTTAGGATATTCAAAAATGGTGCTAACAGCCCAGGTGACAAAGGATGGACCACAAAGAAACTTTAATTTTTCTGTTTATGTTTGCCTCTCATGTGGCTGTCTGGGCAGGAAAGAGCCTGCTACTAACAAACATGCTGACTTACGCACTGAATGCCATTTCTAAGGCAAAAGCTGATTTGTATGGCAGTTGGCTGGACCTCTCTATCCAGCCTGATTCTGCTTTGTCTCGTGAATCCAGGAGGAGAAAGAATACCCAAAGAACAGGGAGGAACACCTGCAACTCCATACACCTCAAGCTTTGCAACGCTTCCCTAACTGGAAGTTGCAGAATCTCTTGGGGACTGTGCCCCATATCAGGAGGGCCCCATATCAGTTTGTAGCCAACAGAAAGACCACTTTCTTACAAGTTCATACATTGGCTCATATCTATATCAGCATCTGGTTAAAAACGTTTAGATTTAAGAACCATTTTTGGATAAACAAAAATGAATGCCTTTTCCTACCATATCATGGGGCACAATGAATCATACAATTAAGACAAATGACATTGTTTCCAGGATGGGCTGTATGACAAACTATTTGTTTTTCATAAGAACCTGTAATTTACTGCTATCTAAAACAGATTTGATAGAGCTTATATCATTCTACATTATACATTTAAAGGGCCATGAGAATTATCACTTAATCAATTTAATATTCAACATGAGCGCAAAAAAGATCCATTGCTTATTTCACACAATTTTTGTTAAAAAAAACCAAAAAAACTTCATAAGCACAACTTTATGATTTACATGTCATAAACAGGATTCCATTTGAAAAATGCATTGCATTCAGTTCCTAAAGCTTGCACTTATAGTTGAACATCAATATATATTTGAAACCCATCACTTATATTTGTAGATCATTGTACAGAATATATTGGAACTATCAGAATACGCTGACTCGCAATTAATAAATGTTCTATGCTTAGAAATATTTTATATGAATGAAAAATATTCCTGACTGAGTCGCACAGGAAGGCTCAGTCTTGTTTTGTGGGGATACCCTGGAAAAGCAGAACACTACCCATCCAGCCCTGCAGACCACTGCCAAATCAGCATAGCCAGAATGCTGGTTCTCTCGAGTGCCATAAATGAGGCTGCCCTATCAGTGGCTGAGAATGGTGGTAGCTAGCTTATGGTGGTAGCCAGTCTTCTAACTGCCTGTGCATTTTTAATTCTGATGGCAAATCCTGGGATTGGAATATGCTGTTCCTTTTTTGGAGCAGCAGTCTAGTGTGTTACAGCAAGGGCTGGCAAGCTATAGTCCATAGGTTGCATCCAGCATGCAAGAGATCTTACCCAGCCTGCCAAACAAGCCAAAACAGAAGTTTATATATCCCACTGTTGGTAAGTTTTGCATGGGAAGTCACCATCTAGTGCAGGGATGGGCAATTATGTGGGCCCAAGGGCCACACAGGGAGTTCTGAAGAGCTGTCGCGGGCTAAGTCGGCACCCTGCCTCCCCACTTTCCCCTGCAACAACTCACCAAAACCCCCTATGGGGCTTCAGGCAGGCAAGGTGCAGTGTTCAGGAGTGGGAGAGGTGGGTGAGGCTGGGATCTTGGGGCCAGGTCATTAGATGGTGAAATTTCCAAGCCAGGCCCCTGCCCTCTGCAGCCGAATCTGTTAGCATGCCTAATCTGAAATATGTTCCATCATATAATATTTCAAGGAGAATGCTGTCCTATAGAGTATATGCAGCCTCTGGCATATGTATAAACCATATGGGTAAGCAAAAAGGAACACCAAGAATGCCTTCATGTTTATCAGAGGATGTGTAAAATAGAAAAGATCACCTTTAGTCCTTGTAGTCCTTGAGGTCCTGGTGGCCCTGGTGGACCCTAGAGACAGAAAGAAACCAGTCTGTTATCTTTGAACTAAGTTCTCGAAGACTATCATCTACACACAAGTGCGAACTTCACCCCTGTTAATAAACACAACCTATTTTTCTAAGAAAACAATATTAACACATGGAAGAACCAACACCAACTATAAGCAGGTTGTTAATTTATGACAGCTCTCAACAGACAGCGTCATCTCACACAAGCCTCTATTACTATGACATTAAACATTTAACTTGCCTCCTTTTGTCTTGCTACTTCAGCAGAGGTAGCATTTAAGATTGTTTACTGTTCTGAATGGTACACAATAGGGGTGCATTACAAACAAAAACCCATTGATACTGTAATAGTGTCTGCAGAGATGGCAAAAACAGGACTAATGGAATGGGAGAGACAAACATTTTAACAAAAATGGAACACAACTACCATAATTACTTGCATACCACATGCACATCTGTCCCAAAAATAAGTCCTCCAAAATTGGAGAGGCTATAAAATGTCTGCTGCTTCTCTTCCATCTCTCACCACCAGGCAGCTGTATGGAGGGGGGACAGAGTCCAGTCTTCAGCAGCAGTCACAGTTTTAACCCTTTTGCAGCCACTGCTGCAAAGTGGGTTTGGCTGACCAGCCAAAAACTGCTGCCAACAGCTGAAGATTAGGCTCTGTGCCTGTTCTATGTGGCCATGACTGGAAACATCTTTTTTCTTTTCTTAATTCTGCCAGTTCAGAACAAGAAGCATGTCTTATTTGTGGACATGTGGTATGTGGGAAAATGCAGTTTTTAATTTGATCAAATCTTTAGCTGGGGGGCAGGAGAGAGGGAGATTGATTCTGTTTAATTCTGAACACCTCCTTGGGGGTGTCAAAGTAGGATAGGATGTATAAACTAGGATAGTTTGACACCTATGGCTAAATCTTGGTCTCATGGGTATAAGTCTTCAGTGGGAACTGACAAGAGGGAAGGGCATACTAGATATGGATCATTCTGCAGGATCTGAGCTGCAGGAAACATGTTAGTATTTGAAATTAAAATGTCTTTTAAATGTATCTGATGAGTGGGGCAGGAGAAACCCATAACTGAAACCACTAAATCCTCATCTAATATATAGTTGTTTATCTAAATTGGAACACCTTTGAGAGGAAAAAAAATACACCCAGGAAGATAACTCATGAGGAGTTTCTACCTGATCTGATTTAACAGAATGTCTTTTCCTGAAAAATAAGGCTGATTTAAAAAAAAAAATGTTATCCAGTGTTCAATCCTGTCCTTCGTGTGCAGGCAAAACTCTCATTTAAATTAATGAGAGATTTAAGCACAGAGTAAATCGAGCACCAGGCATCTGGCCCTTGATGGATATTGACAGATATACTAGGAGCTGCATGTGCCCAGTCTGTGTCCTTTTAAAATCAATGTTATTTTTCTCATTAATTCAAGAGCAGCAGAATCAGGCCTATTGTTGAATGGGGCTGAACAATAAGGAAAAATGTAGTGGAGAGACATATGTACAAGGTCAATATCAGATGAATTAAGACGCATCTTAAATTGGCAGAATTATGAACATGCTACTACACAAAAAACAGCTACAAAGCACAGTAAGTCATGCAGTAGAAATTACCGTGACAGTTAGAGTAGTAATCCTCTGTTGGCAAAATGTATTAACAAAAGACATTGTTACCAGAAGTCAACACTGAATATTGCACTTATTTAGTAATGAACTATTATTCATTTGTGCTGTATCTATGAGATCATGTGTCTTGAGCTAAAGTTGAAATAACACTTTTCATGACCTTTTCATAAATATGATGCACGAGCTGCCAATCCTGCTCTCCTATCCACATGCTTTACTTCCATTGATTTGGAATTTTATATGGATAAAGACAGCTGGATCTTGTCATCAAGTTATCAGGGTCAAAGACAATGTACTTTAACAATAGGAGAATCTAGGGTGTTTGTGGGGGGCGGATTTTGGCTTCTGTATATCTATATGTTAATCTGCAATGGTTTCATTTTGCTGAGGACTTAATAAAAAAAATTAAGAGCTGTCACTCTGGTACAATTTAAATCCTGGTTTTGCATCAGTGGTCAATGCATAATTACAGTTCCCAGAGCTGTGATACTAGTGGTGATACCAGTACATAAACCAAGACATTATAAAATGATAGTGGTAAATTTGAAGTTGCTGATCTACAATATCAGCCATGTTGGTTTAACTGGAGCTGAAATTATTTGGAAACAGGCAAAACAATGTTTTTGTAATAAAGAAGACAAAATAGCTTGATCAGTGATTTTTACTCTGTCCAGATAGTACAGACAACAAGTAGTAAAAATAGCTGGAGGTAATTAGACATTACTTGGTTGAGTCTTTTGAACACTGTAAGACCCAAATACTGCTTGTTTTATCAACACAGATTTCCCCACGTGAAATGGGAATACTAGCACAAACAGGCCATATGGTATTTCATCTTTAAAATTCTTTTCACTGTGTGCCTATGTTATAACAAAGATATTCCTAAACCTAATGTTTTCACCTCAAAATGAGATTATTTTTGACACATGCAATTTTATAAAGAGCTGCACAGTTGACACTGCTCAAAACTTGAACCTTATTCAAAATTAATAATATAATTAAACCAAACATAATAATATAGAGTTTTCATATTCACACTGAAGTGTTCATTTTCATCAGTATATTATATATTCAATACTTAAGGCATCTGAATCTACATGTGCTACAAAGGAAGAACTACTTCCAGCTACTGTCTTTGACTTTGTGAGGATTACAGGAACAGATCTGAGGAGAGGTTCAGTTACACATTTTGTTTCTGGTCCTCTAAGTCAAAGCTCCACAAACTCAGCAGGGCTCTTGCTGGAACTGTGGAGGCAATTTCAGTTCTTATGGACTATGATGTCTTATTCTCTACTGACACATGAAATGTTGCAGGAGGCATGAACTAAAGCAACTGTAAATTGTTCTGGGCCTTCTGGGCTTCTTGATGATTTATTACCAAAGTCAACAAAAATGCAGCCAGACAACCTAGACCCTGCAAACTCAGTCAACTTCTACTTAAATCATTTGGTCAAATCCTGAGACAATGCCGAGCAGATGCTCGGTACAGAAAATTCCCATTAGACTCAATGGCAGTTGCAAGTCCCAGAACCTCTAAGAATTTGGCACAAGGACATTTGAGAGTAGGTACCTGCTGTCTCACAGGACTGGGCAGGCAGCTGCAACCTGATGGACAGATACTGTATCATTTTATTTATACAATCCTTACTGCTATCAACTGTTCTGTCCCCTGATCAGATACTGATGACATTATTTACAATAAATCATCCTAAACCAGACTAGAAAATGAGCTTGTTCTTAATGATAAAATATGTGGTTTTAAGTTATATTCAAAAGGGTGGGATTTACTATTTTTTATTTTTCTGGGAGAATAAATAAATTACTAACACAGGGCTGGATCTTATGATCCAGTAAATTCAATGAATCCAGTGAATACAGAGAAAAGAAATCTGAATGACTTCAGTAAGAGCATGAACAGATCACAGTGGACTTGATTCTGATGAGTCATACATATGTAAACCTATGCAGTTCAGTAGGGCTGGACAGCCCAGAATCTGGGTCCAAGTGCAGATGAAGATATAAATCAGAGTGATCCTAATAACACTTTGTTCTCATCACATCAGCTTGAGAATCACCTAGGCATTTTGCTTTCATATGAACATGTACTTACATTTTCCATAGTCCTCCTCATCCCCCATTTCCAGAAAACTATTAGACATTAATTTTCTGGAGCTCAATAAATAAGAAGGTGAATCTTTAAGTCTATTTAACATATTCAAGTTGCTGGTTGAATCCACAGTCTGCTAATGGAGTCTAGTCACATGGTTTCTAAATCTCAAATATTCTGCTCTTTGCATTTTGTAGGGAGAGGAAGAAGAGAAAAAATACAAAGAGAAAAACCTTAATATTATACTACTTAAATTGAAAAGCAGACACTTCCGTGGGCCCTACATAAGTGGTTTATTAGATGAATTTAGCACTAATAGCACTGGGGCCAGCTATGAATCAGTTCTATCCTCATCAGATGATGTCAGCACAGTCCTGGGGATGTGGAGTTAATTCACTCAGCTAAATTGTATCAAGGAACCTCTTTGTCTAACTCCAAACAGCGCATTTAGCTTCTAAGCCCAGAAGGACATTCTTGACTAATGGGCCCAGCAAACCTTTGATTTTGTACCCTATACAAAAGAGAAATATAATTATGCATGAGCTGCCTCAAGACATTTGAGCTTCTTCATGCTAACATACCTGCAGAGCTTCATGGATGTTGCCATTATAGTCAATGATCTCTGTTGCACCTTGATCACCCTTTTGTCCAGGTGGGCCCTGTAATACATTCCCCAGACACTGCATTTGAATCAAGTACCACAACTCACTATAACTGATGGTTCCATTCTAGTTGAATCTATCTTTAGTTTAAAAGAGCTCCCTAATCCTCAGAGCTTTAGCATGTTAAAATTCAAGTTTTGGATTGACCTAGTATAGAGACGATAGCCAGAAACTAATTTTAGATCTGACTGGTGTCTTTGTTCAGGACCATAACTTGCTAAGTTTCTTATATTTTTCCATTAACATTAGAAGGATTTTCAAAGGAGCGAAATTCACTTGATCAATTAAAAGAAATATTGATCCCTTTTCACAATACACTTGAGCTGGTGCTAGCAAAAACCTTCATCTAAACAAAATTATTGCAAGCAAGTTTTTCTTCATGATTTTCCAAGATTTAGTGTCGAGAGGATTGTTTTCTGTTACCCACATGGTTCATTCACATTTGTTCCTGCTCTTTTGATTTTGCTGCATTGTATTTTATAATTGTGTAGACTTTTCAATAAATTACATGTTGCAAAATTAATGTAATATCAGGGGCGGTTTAAGAGGAAAAACATTTTAAACAAAAAAGATAAATATAAGTGAGGAAATTATAACACAGTGAATTGTTCTGGGTAACATCACTATATAAAACCATGGAGCGATACACCAGCCTCACTCTCACAGAAGAAAACCAGACTGCCTTTTTGTTTTAGTGCCTTCAAATAAGATCTCACAACCCAACATTCCCTGTCTTCCTAGTAAAAGGAAGTTTGAGGACAGAAGTGATTTTTCAAATTGATGAGAACACAGCATTTGATATGTTAGAGCCAGACCATCACTTTAAACTTCCGCTGAAAATCAGTTTTTTGCCAATGCAGAGCAGGCAATAGCCAAAAAGTACCACAGACAATTTGATTAATCTATTATATGATAACATACTTTTCCTCATCAATATAGAACTCATGATAGCAACACTCTTCATTGCCCAGCTTTACCCACAACCAAGTTTAACAAGTACTGCTGGACAGCTTAAAATTTAATGTACTTACCCTTGGACCTAGTGCACCAGTATCACCTTTGTCACCAGTGTCACCCTATGTAAAAGTGATATTTGTAAACAAGAGAGATAAACAATTTATCAGATACTGTTTTGGTGTTGGAAGTTCACATTATTTTCCTCTCTCTATTAAAACTCAACCATATTTAAAAGGAAATTAAAATATTTAATTTTAAGACAAAATATGATTTAAAAATCCTTGACATTTCAGTAGTAGAGTATAAGTCTTAATTGCGCAGGTATAATTCCTTTGAAGTCAATGCAATGTCAAGACTAATGTGATTGTGTGCGAGAGGTGACTTTAGCTGTGTGAACCATTTCCAATACACTCCATTATTGGGTTGGCTTAAGATATGAACAATCAAATAAAAGGCAGACTGCAAATCAGGTGATTTAAACAACTTCTCCATTCTTAATATCATGGAAATTGCATGTTCCACATTATCAAAAGTTTTAAGAAAAATCGTAAGAGTAAGTCATTTGGCAGTCTGGCTACAAAGCTGCTTCAAAAGGATTTTCCAAACTGCACATGCATTTCTTTCTGGGATCATTATTCCCACTGAAGCTTCAGAACTTCCTATGAGTCACTGCCTCCTCTACAAACATCACATTATTGTCAATGCTCGATGATTCCTTTGCCACAGTATCCCAGGTGAGATCAAAATATTTTTCATCTAGCTCTAATCTTTTTCCTCCTAGCTATCACTAACAAGCTTGGAGGGATGGAGGAAACTTTATGCCAGAAACTTAAATCCAATTCACAGTCACTTTCACAGCTCTTTTGTATTTGGTCATGTCAGTATATTCAATTACATTCTGCTATTTCTGCTACTGTTTTGACCTATCTTGGTTCTTGGGACACAGGTCAGATCAAAGATTATTAATTGACTAGCATTATAGGGCAAAAGTGGGCCATAGTAGAAGGAGATCATAGTGATGCTTTCATCTGGCCCTGTTGACAGGGACTAAGATTTGAGACTAAATCACTGTCATGTGACTCAAAAATCTGAGTTCAGTTCTCGGCTCTGCCACAGACTTCTTGTATGATTTAGGCAAGCCAATTAACTGCTGTGAGCCAGAATTTCAAAAATACTGAGGCTCCTTAATCCTCTTGAAAATCTGTGACTGTTTCCTTTCTGTAAAAGAAAAATAAAGATGATGCTTGTCATGCTTCTGCACTGGGATATATATGCTAGACTACATGAGAGGTGATGAGATCCCACAGCAATGTAGGTCAGAGAAACAGATCATGTTTTCATAGGAACATAGGAACATGGGACCACTTGGAGCAAATCCAGGCCCTACTCTTGCAGGCAACCATCAATAGTAAGCCCAGAAAGTTCCAATCTCGCTCTAGCACCGTAGGTTTCAAAGCACTCCCTAATGTTCTCCAGGAAGCTCTCTTCTCTTTGTGCACCTTTGATAGGTTAATTCCTTTATCAACCTCTTGCCTTTCACACTTCCAAGGACCCCCTTTAGCCAATACTCAGAACCTATAAGTGGAAAGCATACAAAGACTTAATTCTGCACACATTGAATTTAGCCATTGGGCTTCCACTATCTTGAGCTTGCTTTGCTTGCTGAGGGGAGCTTTCTATCCCTGGTCCCAGCACTGCTCAGCTCCCAGTTTCTCCCAGGAGCTGGGAGCTGAGCAGTGCTGATATAGGGGAGCTCTCAGTCCTTGCAGCACCAGGCTGGGGACAGAGAGCTTCCCTGCCTCCTCAGCCCTGCCACTGCCTGTGCAGTGCATGCCCCAGTTGGCTCCTGCTCTCTTCCCGTGCCGGGGAGGAGCCAGGAGTTCAGCAGCACTGGGACCAGAGACAGAGAGCTCCCCAGCAAGCAAAGCAAGGGGAGAGCTCAGGGTGCTGCTGCTGCTTGGCCGTGGGGTATCGCCCCAAGCCAGAGCCACAGAGTCAGGCTGTGATCCCAAGCTCCATGAACCTGGGAGCTCCCCTCAGCTCCAGGACAGCTCCCCAATGCTTCCCAGAGCCCAGGCCTGACCCTCATTTCCCCTGCCAGCCTGGATTTGGTACCAGGAGAGACTGGAGCTCCCTCTGGTTGCTTCAGGAGGGGCAGAGCAGGGCAGTGGGACAGGAGCAGCCCTGGACTCAACTGCTTCCATTGGGAGCAAATTTGCTCCTAATGTGGGCGTACATGTAGACATGTTCCCAGGTGCAGTTTACTGTACCTTATTCTAATGGATTTAAGGTGCATTATGTCTTTTAAGGTACAATAACTGCACTTGTAGATGCACCCAGGATATTTTCATTCTCTCAAAGAATTTTTAAAAAGCAACTGAAAAATAGTTTTATGTAGTGCTGACCCCATATAAGTGCTGACCCCATAGTTTTATGTAGTTTTATGACATAGTTTTAAGTAGTCCTGATGCCATGCCAGAGAACAGTAAGTACAGGATTCTGTAAAATCTACTGAAAATCCATTATAACACTAAAGAATTCAAGCTTTATTTTTTTTGCCCTGGCCCAAGCTAGCTAAAAGATCTGTTGGAGGGGCCAAGAGCTCTTACACCATAATTCAAAATAACTGGTCACAAGTGCCAAACAGGGTATTAGTAGAACAGCAAAAATAAATTAATTTATATTTAAAGAAAATACCCTCTCAGTGGTTATTTTATCAGCCTAAAATTTTAACAGCTCTTTTCCACCCCCAAAGAAAATGGATTAGGACATATTAGTTAAACACAGAAATCGAATCATACATGTTAAAAAAAGTGGACAAAGAAGGACTCAGTTTTAAAATGGTAAGAGAGAGGAAAAGCATAGTGTACAAAATATACAGGGCTTGGTGCTGAAAATCTAATAGTTAAACTCTGGCAGGAAGCTCTGGATGTTTCAGCTGTTTAAAAAGTATAGGATCAGATCCTATTTCTTTCTAAACTGAAACAAAGGTTATATGTAAAGTTACTAATGATGGGTCTTAGAAATCATCGTGTTCCGCCAATAAACAAAATGCAGGTGCCACTGACCTTTGACCCCTTTGGGCCTCTAGTTCCAGGTTCGCCTGTTTTCCCCTGTACGAAGGAAGCCACAGAAGATGGACAGGAGAAAAATGTCAGAGAAAGGAATGAGTAGACAAAAAATAAATTAGTAATGACTATTAGTAATAGGGAACTGGGAACACTTTATTTCATAGAATCAACATCATGACATACTGAATTTAGTCAATAATTTAACATCAATTTGCACATTCTGGAGGTTCCATCCTTCTACAGAAATCATACTGGTTATTCTCTTACCATTATTTGGAGAAGATAGAGGCAACTAAGCCTAGTTTGTAAGAGATGCTCATTGCATTGTCAGCCCCACCCCCAAAAAACCTGATCACTAAATAGACCTTTCAAGTGTTTATAGGATTTTGCTATTCAAATAAAGTGTTGCCACAATGGTGTTCCCAGAAAAATCAGGTGAATAAAGATGTAGCTGGAACACAGATTAAATGTTTCCTAGACATAACCAAGAGTGGAAAAACTCAGTTACATTAATGTTGAGATCTCTAAGAGAATATAAATATGTGTCTAGGATTATTTAATTTTTTCTTACTAATTTAGGAAACAAACACATAGGCCATGTCCAAACACGTGGGCCAGAAGTCCCAGTATCAAAAAAATACACAATGGGAAAAAGTGGTGCAGGGTACACTCCTGGAGCATGCCCTGAAGCAACTGGAGGCTGGGTCCTCCAGAGAGACATTCTAGCACCCGGCCAGAGCATCTCTATGCTTGCTGGGTGTCTCTGCTGCTTCAGCACACTGCCTCAGTGTGCTGGAGCAAATAGAAGCAGGGCGAGGCTGGAAGGAGTGCTTGGAGCTGCCTGGGACCCAGGCTCTGTCCCAGGCAAGCAGGGATGTGGGGAGTGTGGGTGTGGGGTAGGTCCCCCACCCACCCCCCTGCAGCAGCAACAGTCAGCATTGGGCCATCAGGGCACTCATTGCCCGCCACTGGCAGAGCCCCATGGCAGTGTGTGGCACCACCTGAGACCCAGGGGCTCCATGTGGCACTTGGTGCCAACTGGACCACTGGTGCACGCCTTCATGCAGGACCAGGCCAACACCTGAAATCACCCAGGGCTTCCAGCACTGCATGCAGGAGCCACACATCATCAAGTTGGGATGGCTCCTGTCTCCAAGTGCCCCATACACCACTGGGCCAAGTCATCTCCATGGAGGCAGGAGCCAGTCTGGGCTGATGGCGTGTGGCTCCTGAACACAGTGCCACGAGCCCCAGGTAATGGCAGGAGCGGGCCTGGTCCTCCCTGAAGGTGCACACCAGTGGGCCGGGCTGGCTCCATATGCCACATAGATCCCCAAGGTCTCAGGCAATGCCGTGCACTGCCAGGGAGCTCTGCCAGCAATGGGCCATGAGTACCCTGACAGCCCGCTGCTGGCTGCTGCTGCTGCCCGGGGGCTGTGTACCATGGGGAGGTGGATGGGGGACCCAACACACCCCTACACATTCCCCACCACCCACACAGTCCCCCCACAATCACAACCCCCCACAAACCCCACACCTGCCCCCCCAAACCACACATCCCTCCCACAAATCTCACACTGTGCAAACCCAGACACCAGATGGGATGAGACCTGCTGGCAGGAGCTGCAGCCACAGGGGCAACTGCCACACTGCAGCCTTGCCCCATGCCCACACCGGAGCTGGGCGTGCATCTCAGCCTGTAGGGGCTCCTGGTCCCAGACACCACTCCGGAGGTGTGATGAGCTGGAAGCGCCGTGGAGGTAGCAGACACAGAGATGGGGATTGGGGATGGGGGAGTACTCCAGGAAGGAGAAGTGACTAGAACCAGGCTTACAGCACCCCTGCCACCCTAGAGCAGTCTAAGAGGGGGGAGGTCAGCCTGGAAGGGAAGGGGCTTGCCCAACCCAGTCCCTGAGCCTGAGTTGAGGGCTTCCCAGGAACAGCATGGGGATCACTGCAGCCTGGAAACAGGTGCAGGGAGCAGAACAGTAAGGGCTGGCACTGCTCAGAGCTACAAAGTAGTGGGCAGGACAGCTGCAGCTGGACTCATGTCCTAGTTCTGGGATGCAGCTGCTGCTGGGAGGGAACAAGTGTGGGGAGGCAGGGGCTGCAGGTCAGGAGTGAGGGGTGCTGGTGGGGCTGTGAATTGGGAGTGAGGGCAAGGGCATGGGCAGGGGCAGGGCACTGGCAGGTCACCCTTTGGTGAGCTAAGTGGGCAGGGGAAGCTCTGATTTTTCTATGATAAAAAACCAAAAGCAAATGCCAAAAATATTTAGAATTCATTTTATTATGATGACAGAGGCACTGGTAGGCTTCCAAATTGCTTAAAAATTGTAAATATATCAATAAAACATTGCCCAACTGATCTCTTTATATACAGTGGTGTTTCATTTTAATTGTGGAAGAAAATGGATTTTGGGTATTTAATGAGATAATTTGTTTGTTTGCTTGTTTGTTTGTTTTATCAGAGACTGCAATTTTTAAACAGGAAACACCAGGATCCCTGCGGGTGAGGCAAGTGGAGGGACCTGGGCAGAGGACCCTGCCCAGGGCCAGCACCAGGGACCCAGCTGGAGGGCAAACAAGGTGGCTAACATCCTGGCCATTTGGGGCCAGAAGGACATGCTTTTACAGTTCAAAGTGGGCCACTGCAGCAAGGATATCTTCTGGGAGATAGCTACCCAGATATCAGAGCGGAAGCACCAGAAGACATGACAGGAGTGCTGCCTGAAGGCCAACTGTGCAGCCACAGCCAATTGGCAGCTGGCCCAGAGGTGCGGGCAGCTCTGCTGCAGTGCCTGTGCCAGAGCCCAGGTGCCCGTGTAGTTCCCATCTTGGTCTGCAGGTGCACAGCTATGGGGCTGCAGGTCCAAGGGGGTGGATGCTGTCGCTGGTGGCAGCAGGTCAGAGACAAGCAAATGCCAGACTGCTGCAGTGGGTAGAGGGTGCAGAGGCCACTCTAGGTTAGGGTTGTTTCAGCAGTCCAGCTGGCAGAAGGGGCTAGTGTCCCCAGATACCAACTGGCCAGGCCTCAGAAGCTCCTAAGGCCAAGCAGCCCTGAGCTGCTTGCTGGGGCAGCTTTTTATAATGTTGGGGCTAGCACAGATGCTGGCCCCAGCCTCTAGCTACCCCTGGCCAAAGATTTGGAACGAGCTGGGCAGGGTCAGTTTGCCCCAAGTGGCACAATTTGCCCCACACCAAAGGGCATATTCAGGCACATGTGCTGAGGCATAAATCTCCAGCACAAATTTGTGCCACTGCTATTTGAACTGCTGTAAGTGCATGTGCCTGCATGTGTGGACGTGCCTGCAAAATACATTCTTTCTGAACTGTGGTTGAAGTGGGCAAACCTGGCTCCCTAAAATGAGAAACTTCAGGGAAGACCACTAGCTGTATAAATGCTCATAGCTCCATAAATGCTCATAGCAACACAGGGCCTGCTCCCTACATCTCAAATCATGGGCTCCCTTTATGTTCTAGTCTGCCATTGTAAACATAAAACTGCTACTGGCTTCTGGGTGACACCGTATGTATTTAGAGTGCTTTCTTTTGAAACCTCATGGCTGTGTTTTTAAGAAGCAGTCACTGCATGTTCATAGATGCAAAACTAACAAAACATTTTCAGTGTGATATTGGACTGACCTTTGGTCCAGTAGCTCCAGGTTCACCTCGTTCACCTTTCCCAGGAGGTCCTGACTCCCCTTTCTCACCCTGTCACAGATTACAACACACATTTGAATATCACAAAACACTGGCAGCCTTTCACTATGATGCAGCCTTCACTAAACTTAACCACCGTAAGGGTAGATTTTAAAGCCCTCCTGACAGTTATGCTGGAAAGAAGAACTTCTACAGAAATATAAAGTACTCTGAATGAAGAAATGGACATTTTCTGCAATGCCATCACAATCATGTTTTTGTTAACTAAAACTGCACTATTTGAGAAACAGCAGGTGCATCTACACAAGACACTATCTCATTGCTACTATACAGTAGCATTGCCAAGCACTAACCATGCAGTGATGCTACTGTGCAGTAGCGTCTGGCAAAAACTGTGGCAACAGTACTGCGCAATAACACTGGTTACTGCATAATCATTTAGTATTTAAGCAAGCGAGCAGGTGTGGTGGGCAGGGCAAGGCATCACATGGCACAGGCAGCTGGGGGCTGAAGGTGGCAGGGAGCAGGCAGGAAGGGAGAGGAGCACAGGGCAGTGACTAAAACTGACTCCAACTCCAGGCCCAGGTCAGAGCTAGACTGGACCCATAACAGCTACCTCTCCTCCTTCCCGACCCTCCCACTCGGATCTCAGATGAGGAGCTTTTCCCCCCACGTTGAATGGGAGTGAAAACCTTGTCTTGGATTCAAATAAATATAGTACATGCAGTTGTGGTGCTTCTGTCCTTTCCTTGTAAGAATACAGGATTTATTCCAAAGCTTCTAGTGCCCCATATTGCTTCAGTAGCTTCTCCTTCCCCTTGAAAACAGACACTGACTCAGCATTCTGCCTATATTACTTAAAGAGCTGACCACTACAGTAGACTGTATGTTGGGCTAAGAGCGAAAAAGCACTCCATTACTCCAGTTAGTGCAGAATACAACTGCCTTTATTATTAACTTTAAGATTAACCTTAAGCAAGTACTAAATGACTGAACAGTAACAACTGCACGGGACCCCAGCTGGGGTCTGCTGGGCAGGGGTGCAGCAGCCCCTGCCTGGCTTTGCTCCACTTGCTGCTCCAGTGACTGGCACGCTGAGGTGGAGGGGAGGGAGGCAGGTTTAAATCCCCTCTCCCACTGGCATGGAACTGCAGCCAGAGTCTGCTTGGCAGGGGCACAGCAGCCCCTGCCAGGCTTTTCCGCACTCGCCACCAAAGCAGAGGGTGTGGGGGCATGATCAGAAACCTGGCCATGCCCCAACCACTTCCTCTTGAGTGATGACCGGGGAAAAGCCTGGCAGGGGCTGCTCTGCCCATGCCAAACAGACCCCAGCTGGGGTCCCATGCAGGCAGAGGAGGGGGTTTAAACCTCCCTCTTCTCTGCCTCAGTGTGCTGGCCCTGGCTGATGTCTGGCCACACCCTCCACCCCTTCCGCTTCAGCAGCAAGCAGGAGAAAACCTTGTCAGGGGCTGCTCTGCTCCTGCCAGGCAGACCCCAGTGGGGGTCCTGTGTGGAAGGGTGAGGAGGCTTAAAGCCCCCTCCCCTCTCTGCCTCATTCTGCTGGCCTGGCCCAGGGTCAGCAGTGAGCAGGGGAAAACCCTGTGAGCAGCTGCTCTGTCCTTGCCAGGCAGACCTGGCTACAGTCCCAAGCTGGGTTTCCTGCCCCCACTCCACCACCTGCTTCTCAGCCAGCCAGAGCAGTGATAGTGCTCTGGCTAGGGAGCAGAGGGGCAGGGCCAACCCTGCTTTGCTGAAGTAGACAGCCCAGCCCAGCCCAGCCCAGCCTAGGGCTACAACGCATCCTGGGATGTTGGGCGACTGTGAGTTAAATAGAACCAGGAAGGGGTCTGGGACAGAAGTTCCATAAACCAGATTGACCTAAATCAGTTAAGTGTGATACTACATTCAACCACATTTATCTTAAACCAGTTTCTAACACTTTGAAAGCAGCTTATGTGCACTGAACTTCTGTTCTGTTCGAGGTCTAACTAGTTTCTGATCACTTAAACCGTTTTATGTGTAACTTCTGTCCCTAGCCTTATACTTCTCGATTTTGATAAGTACCATATTCTTGTAAAAATTTTCATCCTTAAATTAGAAGAAGGCCCTTAACTTTATTTGTCTTTGAACACTGGCATAAAGATATAAGAAGTGGGGAAATGTTAAGCTTACCTTTGTTCCTGGTAATCCTGGAAGCCCAGGTTCTCCCTGTGGACCAATGAAACCTGGCTCACCCTTTAAAAATGAGAACATGTCAGAAAATTATTTACTTAACAGAGGAAATAATTACAATAACACCACTGTACTTCTAATGGTATTTTCCCCTGATCCCTCATGGCTTTCCTGCTATGATCCAAGAACTAGAGATAGATACAATTAATCAGGGACGATTTCCATCAGTATAACATCTTGCAGCAAAGCATCCCAAAGCTTAAGAAATGCAAATGAGCTGGAAGGCATCAAAGCTTGTTTTTGAAAAGTTAAGAACTGTTAATATGCTGCCTGGATTATACTGCAATTTTACTAAATAAAAATCCACCCAAGCAAAACTAATACAGAGGATTCAAGAAAGAAAGAGGCTCCAAGCAATTCTTTGTTTCACAAGTTCAGGTTCATTTATTCACACTGAATAAAGCATGTCTAGTTGTTGCTCTGCAATTCTCACTGGGGCATGAAGATGGATAGGGAAGTACATACGTCATGTAGGTGTTTAAACTGGCACCTGGGCCCTAAATACAACAGGTAATTGTTCTAAAACAAATAATTAAAAAAACCCAAATGATAAGGGCTCAACTGTAACTTTATATTACAATCTGCCCTGAATATGAGGTGGTATGTAACTGCATTTCTCTAAAAGTAGGACAAAGGATAATGTGTAATACGAGAAGTCACAAAAGTCTACTATTCTCCCTGCATCTCCCACCTTGTTCTGCAGAGTAAATTACTTCATGCCTTTTTCTGTAGTGCTTTAATTCATCCATTCTACCCAGATGGTTACCCAGGCTAGCAAGTAGGTAGGATAGGCCAGCAAGTAGGTGGGTTAGGTCTAGGACTCTTCCTATTTCCTGTCCCCCTGCACCTCCAGCTTGACCATTTATTTGTAGAAGGGAGTAACAAACAGCAAGTGGCCTCTACTCTGTCCCACTGCAGCCAGAGTCACCATGTGGGCTGAGGAAGGGAAGAATGAGAACCTTACTCCTTCCTCCTCTCTTTAAGGGTGGAGGTAATCTAATTCTCAATTAGCCACTACAATCTGACAAAAAGTATTAAATAAAATAAGGAGCAGCAGATCTGATAGAGCACAAAAACAAAAAGAGAAAGAGAGAAAAAGAGTATGGAATAAATAATGCAGAAGCATGTGTTTCTTATTGCTTTTAGGACATATTACAATAATAAAAAATGACCTTGTGGTTTAAATGTTAAACCTTTGTAATGTAAATATATTAGTGCATATCAATGAGAATAACCAGCAGGTTTTTTAGTGGGGTGGCAAGCATTCCCTTCTATTGACAGCAAGCAAGTACAGGTACAATTTCAATAATTTACTTTAAAATCAGGAACATGCTTTACAGTTCAAAATTATATTAATATCCAAAAACACTAGCGGTCACATGGCTACTAGGGCAATTTATTACTAAACCTGTTGATTATTATTTCTAGAGAAAGAAACGTGCATCATTCCCATCCCCCAATATTTTCTATCAGCTGTGTGGTTTAGCAATGTTATCAAAAGATCTTAATGCAACACTTTTGGACTGAATTCTAGCATGACACTGTATAGGGACCTTATCAGAAACATCAGATTGCAAGATGATGACTGGCACATATTTTTCCTTGCTGAACAACCCTGGCCTTTGCCAAAAGCTGCATAGAAGTTGCTTTACAAGTTCTTTTGTGACAGAAAGTAAGATCATATAGTAAGAGGTCTGTGGTTTTAACTGCATGATTTAAGATGACGACTCATTTTAGTATTTTATTAAATACTATTTAATATTAATATTTTATCAAATCTTTTATCAAAACCAATTACTATAAATACCTTGGGCCTAGGATAAATCTGAGCAAATAAATCAGTGGACAAATCTGAGCAAATAAATCAGATTCTTCCCACTCTTTCAAACTGGAAACTGCAGCTTATCATAACCCTAGATCTCTTCTGGGATGAGGCATACGGACCTTGTATTCCATGTAGTTTTATGTAACTATAACCCTGACTCCTAATGACTCCTAAAAAAACCTGCCTGAAGGGTTTATTTGTGCTCATAGCAGGAGTAATCTGCAGGGAGTTCAGTGTAGCTCTGGATGGGCCAGGTGTCAGAAAAAATTATGGCACCTATTAATGGTGTTTGTGAAGCATATCATATTTTCTTGCATACAACACACCCTAGGATATAATATGAATCGTGCGTTTGAAAGGTATAATGAAGAAAATTATCTTTCTGGAGTTATGGCTGAATGGAGCAGGAACAGAGCCCAATCTTCAGCTGCTCCACCTTCCTGTTCTTGCTTAACTAAAGCCAAAATCTTACCTGTTCCTAAAGACTGGCCTCAAATATTGGATCTTTGGTTTTGAAAAGAGCTAAAGAGCCTCCAAGGCTGTAAAATAGGAGGAGAGAGACTAGAGCAGCTAGCAGACAGTGAAATTGCCCTAAAAAAGGTGTCATGTCAAGACCACAAAAAGGAGAACCATTTATTAACACTTGTGCAGTGGTGAACAAGAAGCTGTTAACTCAATCGACTCTCTCAGCTTTCCTAATATACAACAGCTACTGCGCTGTGGAGCAGAAATCAAAGCAGGGTGCTTCTGTCCCAGACAGAAAATCAGCGTTACTGTTTACCATGTAAAACCCAATTTTCTGGAAAAAGGTGCTGTATGTCAGAGAACTTCATATATAGGAATATATAGATTTTGGCTAACAAACAGAATCTAACATAGTCTCTTAAATTAGTATACTTAAATATGTTGTTGAAATGTTAAAAGATTAGCAAGCAAAATCAAGCTTCCATGTGAATGTTTTAATAAACTTTAAAACCCTCTAAAGCAGATAGTGTTGACAGAAAATGTCCCTAAAGGACACTCTGTGCTGTGTAGTAAGTGCAGGTAACTGTAGCAAGACTATCCCTGGCTTTTCTGCCAGTAACTCATAAAGAAAATATCTACAAGTAAAACAATGTATATTCATCTTCCTGCAAACAATACTGGCTTCCTGCTTTGTGTTATCATCTATGCCACTCAGATAACATAAAGTAAATGGGATTCTATCCAGATTACTGTTGCCAGTGATGTGTGAAATGTAATGAAAACAAGCAGTTTCATCTCAGTAACACATGCTGATGCCCCTGCAATGCAGAGGAAAGGGAGAGATCATGAAGTCCATGATGCAAACACCACAGAAGGGTTATATTAAAAAAAATCGAAGGACTATCTGTTTAAAGAATGGATGACACTTCAAAACTAGCCAGCACAGTGCCATAAAAATATAAGATTAAGGGACTGATTCTGATGACACCTACAGTTATTTTAGACTGGTGTGCTCCCTCTATATATCTTATTTAGTCTATAAAGGTACTTACCTACCCTGCCTTGTAACAATGCATGTCACAGCAGTTTCTCCTAATTTACTCTCATTAAGTGAAATCGGACACAATCCCCAAGTACTGTGGAATAATATACACTTTGATGCAAACAAAGTGTGACCAGGTTTTGCCATACCTGCTATAAAACATGCTGATCTACTATAGTTTAAGGTGGTACTTTTAGAGACTAACTGGTTCAGAGAGGCATACACTTTTGTTAGCAACAGTCTATTTGTCAGATGCTAGCACCGTCAGCATCTGATGAAATAAAATGTCACCTATGAATGCTTATGCTTCTCTAAATTAGGCAGTGTGCTTGCAGACATTAACCCCCACCTGCTATAAAACATGCTGATCTACTATAGTTTAAGGTGGTACTTTTAGAGACTAACTGGTTCAGAGAGGCATACACTTTTGTTAGCAACAGTCTATTTGTCAGATGCTAGCACCGTCAGCATCTGATGAAATAAAATGTCACCTATGAATGCTTATGCTTCTCTAAATTAGGCAGTGTGCTTGCAGACATTAACCCCCCTCCTCAG